AAAAAGAAAAAAAAAAGAATAGCAAAATTTAACAGAGCAGCAAACAACAAGTACTGGCAAGGTTGTGGAGAAACCTAAACCCTTATTTACTGTTGATGGGAGTGTAAAATGGAGCAACCACTAAGGAAGGCTGCACAGCGCTCTCTCAAAAAGTTGCAAACAGAAATACCATTTGACCCAGCAATTCCATTACTGGGAATATACCCTAAAGAAACCATATCTGCCATCCAGAAAGATATATGCACACCTATGTTTATTGAAGCTTTCATAATAGCAAGGAGCTGGAAACAACCTAAGTGCCCATCAAAAAATTAATGGATAGAGAAGCTGTGGTATATTCGCATAATGGAATACTATGCATCATTGAAAAACAAGGAACTCATGCAATATTATTAAAAATGGGTGACCCTGGAGGACATTATGCTGAGTGAAATATCTCAGGCACAAAAGCACAAATACTGCATAAGGCCACTGTTGTAGAACGGGACTGACATCAGGGTTGAGGTGAGACTGAGAAAGACTGGATAAATTATGTATACTGCATTGAAACAGATGAGGGAGAGAACAGTTTAAAAGTGATATATGATTGGGTATTATGGTTATGACAACAGTCCAGAATGAAGGTTGCATAGTGGAGTGTACTGGGGGCGAATTATATACCAATAAAATAATTTTTCTTTTACTTTTCAAAGAGAAGAGCAAACTCAGGAGGAGGGGTGGGCAAGAAGAAAAATTCAACAATGAATGAATGGAAATCCAAAATGTCTTGAACATCTATTTGTAGAAAGGAATATAAGATATAATAAAATCTTACTTTGAACAAATTGGTATTATATAGTCACTTAAAATATTTTCACAATCATTCTATAGTCCTTTTAAAAATGACACATAATTTTCCCTTGTTCTGTATTTTGTGACTCAACAGAAAAGAACATGGCAGGAGTTGTATGATAGAAGAGTCAGAATGAGGTTAGAAAAGGCACAGCATCCCCTTCCCTATTCTCTTAGATCACACTAGTTGTCGGGGAAGGTAGCTGCCACGTCAGAAAGCAACTTCTAGGAACTCTGTGGAGAAGTTCCTGTGGTGAGAGGCTGAGGCCTTCTTCCAACAACTGTACGAATAAGCGACCATAAAGAAGCATCTCCATTCCCAGTTAAAGTTTCATTTGATTGACTAACACTCTGACTGCAACTTCATGAGATCCTATACCAGAACTCCATAACTAAGCCTCTTAATTTTATGACTTACACAAAGCTTGGCTGGACCTGACCCAAGTTAGAGAATTTAAATTACTTCATATGCATGTAAATGTTGGACAGTGAATAATGGAAGACCAAAGAAGAACCAATCCCTTTGAATTGTGGTGTTTGCAAAGAATATTGAAAAGAATAAATCTGCCCTGAAAGAAGTACAACCCGAATGCTTCTTAGAAGTGAGGATAAAAAAAAAAAGAAGTGAGGATGGAATCTTCTTCTCCAAGAAAGCACCAAACAGCAGATGATTCCATTGCAGCAAGAGGGCCCTGAGGCCCCGGGATGAGAATCCATCCAGTGGTTTCCACGGAGGCTTCAATAGCAGTCTGCAGGGTAGGGGCCGTAGCAGGGGTTGCGGAGGTCGAGAAGGCAAAGCCAAGGGCAAGGAGTGGCTCCCCATCACCAAACTGGGCCATCTGGTCAAAGATATGAAGATCAAATCCTTGGAGGAGATTTATCTCTTCTCACTGTCCATCAAGGAGTCTGAGATCATTGACTTTTTCCTGGGGTCCCTCAAGGACGGAGTGTTGAAAATCATGCCTGTGCAGAAGCAGAAACGTGCTGGCAGGTGGACCAGGTTCAAGGCCTTTGTCACCACTGGAGACTATAACAGCCATGCTTGGGTGTCAAGTGCTCCAAGGAGGTGGCTACTGCCATTAGTGGGGTCACCATCCTAGCCAACCTCTCCAGTTCTATCTAACATGAGGTTGCCCAGTGATGGAAACCATATCTCCATTGCCCCCGTGCAGCCTGGCACGTTTGTTCCTAGGGGAACAAAATTGGCAAGTCTTACATTGTTCCCTGCAAGGTGACCGGATGCTGCGACTCTGTGTTGGTGCATCTGATCCCTGCACCCTGAGGCACTGGAATCATCTCGGTCCCTGTGCCCAAGAAACTGCTGCTGATGGCTGGAATTGATGACTGCTACACCTCAGCCAGGGGCTGCACAGCTACCCTGGGTAACTTCACTAAGGCCACCTTTGATATCATCCCCAAGGCCTACAGCTTCTGGACCCCAGATTCCTGGAAAAAGACTGTGTTCACCAAGTCTCCATACCAGGAATTAACTGACCATCTTGTAAAGACAGGGAAAAAAGTGCAACAATGAATGAATGGAAATCCAACAATAATCATAATAAAAATAAATATATAAAGGGAAAAAATAAGAAAAGACTATGGCATGGATCAGGCACACCTTAGTCTTTAAACTGGCAATGTTACTCATTAGCAGGTTGGAGAGGTCCTTGCCAAGACCAGGTTTGTT